TTCTAACTATGCGGGAGCATGTGACATCCATCCCAAAATGCACTGCTTGGGGCCAGAGCACTTGTATACCATCAGTCTGATTTACTGAATGACCCAGATGAATGCCTGAAGAATGCAGTTTTCTGTGTTTGAGCAGTGGAAGACCCAATCACAATACAATATGGGTGCCTCTCAATAGGCTATTGAGGTCCGACGTTGCCTTGTGGAATGTGCTGGGTGCCTCGAATTGGCATACAGATGGCATCCAGGTTATTAGGACTCTCGTGGCAAAGCACAAATGGAATTTCAGTTAAGTCAGACTGGTCACCTTGTGTTTTTGTATTTGCTTTATTTCACTTCAAAAAAGCACTTTCCAAGATCTACACCCAGGTGATCTGAGACCTCACCCCCAATCTAGTCAAGTACATATACATAAACAACAAAAGTTGTGGTGGGGTTTTTTAAGAGAAAATTCGAAAATCGTATAAATGTATTCAATTCATAAAAAAATTTTTTCCATGATGAAATTTAAAATCAAAGTTAATGTATATACATGATTATCGAATCCCTAAATTTCTTGCATATAGATCATACATAATTCATTGTCCATTTCCTAATGTCAATCATTTATCCATCATTAAATTACATATACATAGTTGTACCGCTCCATTGACCCCCTACGCGTTTCACATATGAGCTTCTTCAGGGGGTTCTATTCTCGGCAAAAAATCTATTGATAGACATATCAAATATTATTTATCAAAGTATACATCATTTGTAAATAATTTCAAACTTATTTAATCGTACTTTACTTTAATTTCCATTTACAATTAGCTATACATATTTCTTTCTTATACTTATATTGTACAGCCAATGATGGATACATTTAGGGATTCGATAATCATGTATATACATTAACTTTGTTTTTAACTCGTCATGGAAAAATAATTTTTATGAATTGAATAAATTTATACGATTTTCTCTCTTAAAAAACCCCAGCACAACTTTTGTTGTTTATGTATATGTACTTTATTTCAGATTGTCACTCTCGGTGCCAGGTGTAATCAAATTTGGGCCTATGAAATGCTAATTGCTTTTGTGTGACCAGGTTAGCAGAATGAAGATGGAGGACAATGTTCACCATAAAATCCATTTTATGCAAATTGTTTTACTACTATACAACTCTAGATAAGTTAGATTTTTCTTTAGTTTAGGACAATTGATTAGGAATTCTGGGATTCTTTGCTGCAAAGCTTCACTTGACCTACAGGCAGAAAGTAGCTAGATTTTTGTACTCCAAGCTATGCAATCATTTTGGATGCATCCTGAATGTTTTTATCACCTACCTCTGTGTCTAGGGTAAACTTAGTAGTACTTTGGCTTAAAATTGTGTTCTAACTATTGTCTATGAAAAATTGATGATGATCTGTCAACATTCAAGTGGCGATAATCTCTAATGCCCTATGTTTCCCGTTTTTTGTAGTGGAAATGATGGAAGAATTGCATAGCCTGGACCCTCGGCGCCAGGAATTGTTGGAAGCACGATTTACAGGAGCCGGGGTTTCAAAGGTAAGCTTGACGATTCAATAAATTATGCAGAATTTCGTTGTAATGTAGTAGCTTTTAGCTCTTTAAGTTCCCTTTCAGCGCTCTGTGTGGGATTTTACCAATTACATACCCAGGAGACTCAGACCCTATATTGAATTTTGAAGGCTCATTCATATGGGTGTTGCAGCTTGCACCGTTACTAAAGCATTTAGCGTTCGGAATTGGTGTGGTACTATGATCGGTTCTTGAATTCAGAGCTCTAACTGGCACATTTCCCATACGTGAGGTTCTCCTCACAGAAGTGAATCAATAGCTGGACATGGGAGTCTGTATTTGCACAGCAGCTCACCCTGGATTTCTGGGGCTCCTGGTGCACCCTGCATGGTACCTCCTAGATGGCTGCTTTCCATGTGTACAGACAGATTAGCTGGATCTGACAATTGTCATACATGTTACTGTGATACAAAGCCTTTTGTAATAAGTACTGTAGTTGGTGTGGTTTTTGTTTTTTCCCTACTACGTAACAATGAGATGTAAGCTAAGCGGTGGAGCTTTTTTTTTTTCCTTTGAGAAGCTGGTTGTTTCATTACGGTCCATTTCTAACAGTTATGAAATTGCGGTTCTTTACTTAATGTTGGCTATCACCCAGTGCATAAAATGTAGACGTTAATGTGGCCACTTTAATAAAGAAGTAACCCTGTTCGTACACAGAAGTAAAATGTCAGAATGTGTCTACGGTCACTGTCTGGCATATTCTGTGCTGGCAAATGTGAGGGCACAATACTGAAAAGTGACGGTTTTGTCTATAGAATTGCTAGATGTAATATTAGTCTTGCGTTGGAGGATAATGTTCCCATTATAAAACCTTCACTTTAAATACTTTAATTTCTGGTTTAGTTTTTTTTGTTCATGTTTACTCAGAAGTTATTTTTGAATAAACCAATCTGTAGATTTTTTTTCTTTACTGGTAGTCCAGATCCCCTGCTGACCAGAGCAGTACAGAACAGATGTGACTTTTGTGACATCCATGTCTGTTCAGTGTCTCCCTCCATTGCAGCTGAACTAACTGGGCCAATATTGGGTCCATGGGCAGTCGGATGTAAGTGGACGTGTGTCTGGTTACTTCTGATTACCTCTGATCCATCCTGTTAAACCAAGACGGAACTCTGTTCTGTGTGTTTTATCTTTTCCTAACCTAGACGTACTCGGAGGTAGTCTGATGTAAACAGTCCATTTACAGCCACCGGTCCATGGACTAACAGTGACTTGCCAATCAGGTCAACCTGAAAAACTGAAAGGCGGACCTGATCAAAAGGCTGTGGCAAAGGGGTCTTACTCTGAGCATTGAGATTCTGCATTGTCCGTGCAATATTCGGTGTTTCCGTTTTAGTTTTTTTTTTTACATGTTGATCCTAAAATTATTTTTAAATAAAGCAGCCTGTAGTTATTCTTACTGGTAGTTGGACGTGCACACCTGAGCCTTGCTTACCTCTGAGAATTGAGATTCTTGCATTGTCCTTGCAGTACTGTAGTTGGTTTTTCATTTTGATTTCAATTCCTTTTTTTTTTACATGTTCATCCCCCAAAAAAATATTTTTTAAATAAACCAACTTGTAGATATTCTGCGTTATCCTTCTAGTAGCCTGATGTTGCTGTTTAGGTCCACTCAGTATTCCTTATTAGCAGACATCGGCCTGCAATCACACGTTCACCCCATGGGATATAATGTGAAGACAATGGAACATGCCGTACTCAACCAGTTGGGTTTTAATAGCATTCCGCCAAATTGAGCAATTCACAGGCCTGGCTGAAGTGCGTGTCACAGGAGCTAGCTTCCCACTGACAATTCTGTGTCAGAAAAAAACTGCTTCCTTTTTGTCATTGGATAATTGCTTTCATTGTTTACACCCCCGTCACCTTATTCTTAAAGAACTGCGATCTAATTAATGATGGCTGTGACTTTGAAATTAGCGGCTGGTAAAATCCCTGAAAAGAACCAATGAACACTTCAATTTCACTTAGTGTGGGAGAGCAGCTAATAGGCGGGCCGTTTGACACCATTGCATTATTACACTGTGCCAAGCTATCCTCTTCATAATGCTTCAGAAGAGGGAGGCTTGAATTGTTTGCTCTGGTGGAAGTCTAGAAAAGATTAGCCGGATCATACGAGAAAAATTTTCCACATTTACTTGGTCGTTAAAATCTAATGATCATTGTAGTCATATGGTAGCTGCTGTTTATTTTTTATTGCAAGTCCCTGGCTCCCAAGCTTATCCTGTTGCTTCAGTAACTTCCACTGACCAGGAACAAGTATGGAGGACAGACCATGCGAGGAAGGGATGATATTGAAGCCACAGGATGATAAAAGCCAGCATATTGGCAACTTAGAAAATCCTTAGCAATGGCGGCTTTTCATATATTTTTAATCAGCCTTAAGAGAAATGAGAGGTAATATGGTAGTCGTCTGGCTGTTAGGGTAAGCCCCTGCATTCAGTACCTTTTTTAAAGTCAATAACGTGAAAGAAATATGCAGATCTGCAAGCCGTAAAAACATTAGCATTAACTGCAGGCTTGTTCTAGATCTATGATTTTAAATGCTGATGAAATTGCTTACATTGAATGCTACTCCTTGATGTTAAAACGATCGTTTCCTGTGGAATCATTTGGTCCCCTGTGCACTGGTCCTGATATCCTGCGTTAGGGTGGCTCCTTTCCATTGTAGGGTCCTCTGTAGCCACCTTTTGTGTGTGTGTGCTAGTAAGCAGTGTGTCTCCACAAACGCACAGCAAGGCAACCCACCACCGTGGTCCTTGCTTCTCTCTTCTTCAGGCTAGGACAGATGGCTGCTGGAGATTGTTCTGTCCCTTGTGATCTGTTCAGGGAAGCAATGCCGAGATTGTTAGGAAATATGACGAAGTGTGTGGGCAAAAATACTTTGCTGGGCAATGTATATGTGATCTGGATTAGTTATTTAAAATGTCAGGGTTTAATAGAATAAAGTATTGGCGACGGATTGGTCAATGTGACAGCATGGCAGCCAGCATCTTCAGAAACCGATGTCAGCCTTCAGATTTCTCGGACAGGTTTTCTTGGGGAAAACCTAAAAACACTATAAATTCCTCCCAATGGAAACTAACGTTTTCTGAAATGACAGTAGTGTAAGTCGCGAATACCTTTTTATATTGGACTGCAGGTGAAGTGTATATTCTGTAACTAGCTTGGAATGGAAAACCGTTCTCATTGTCTTGGCTGAGTTTTTTGTGTTTAAACTCTTTATTAAAGGAGAACTATGGGGTCAGTGTTTTTCCCCATAGTTCTCCTTAGGGAAACGGGAGGACACAAACTAGCGTCCTCCCGTTACCCTAAGCTCAGTATACTGCCAGCTACAGCTCGCGGTATACTGAGACGGCGCAGCCGGAGCGGATCCCGAATTAGATGATGGGATCCGCCCAGCTGCGTGAGTGACAGCTGGCTCTGCCTATCTAGAGGCAGAGCCAGCTGTGCGGGGGCGGGCGCTCCCACGTCCGTTCCGCCAGCCAGCGCTAGTGGGGAGAGGGGAATCCAGCCTCTCCCCCTGTAACGGCAGAGAGCCGTGACAGGATCGAGAGGTGAGCGAACCCGGTATGTGTTCGCTCACCTCCCGATCTACTGAGCCGACCTGCGACAGTCTCATTGTCACAGGTCGGCTAGAACTATGAGGTGAGTGAAAAGCACTCCCCTCATAGTTCTCCTTTTAAGTATATAAGATCATAGAAATAACAATAGGAAACATACAACAAGTAGACGTCAAGTATGCAATGAAAAGATCTCCATTCGATGGTTAGGCTGAGCTTTTTATCACCCCTAATATGATTGAAAGATATATAACTTAATGATGTTAAGTGTTGATGTTGGTAATTTTAGTCTGTGAAAGCAACTTTTCTTCATTAAATTAAAAACAGTAAAAATTGGTTGAATTCACTTACTGAGCCTTATTTTTCCTTTTTTTTTCCCCCAAGGGACAATTGAACAGCGAATCTTCTAACCAAAGCCTATGTAGCCTGGGTTCTCTGAGCGATAAAGAACTTGAGGTGAGAAGCTGATTTTATTATGGTCTCCTGGCCTGTCGTTTTGGTGTTCAGAGACATACTCCATGTTCTTCAGTTCAGTTGGCTTTTAGTTAAAGAATAAAAAAAAATAATTGGCATGTATAAGTAAGGTTTACATGTGGCCATTTTCTGTGAGTTCGTGAATGCCATATTTTAATAGTGACTTGTCTATAATAGATTTTGGTTTATCTATGATATGGAAATGATTGGGTGGATGCAGATTAATCATTGCTGTCTGATGCATTTGTAGAGGAATTTTAGTTGCTTATTTGTAAAACCTTTTCTGTTACTGAGCTGTAGTGAACTATTTTTAAGATGCAGAAGATGGAGAGTATTATGACCTCATGCACACTGTTGAAAAAACATGCTTTTCAATGACTGAATGCACATCCTAGATGCCCAGCAGCATCTAGGTTCATTAAGTCGAAGTATTACAGGTCCATGTAGACCGGTTTTATACAGCTAAACATGTGTAAATGCAGCTGAGCCCAGCAACTTAACCAAGGAAAAAGTGATTGGACAGGCATAAAGAGGTGAATTTATCAAAACTGGAGCAGCTGTGCATGGCAACCAATCGGCATCCACCTTTCATTTTCAAAGCTTAACTCAACAAACAAGGAGAGAGAAGCTGATTGGTTGCCATGAGCAACTGCTTCAGATTTTGTCTCCTCCAGTTTTGATAAATTCCCCAACCCCCCCAAAGTGTTTATACTTGGCAGATAACTTGTCTTGTGCCTAAACGCAGCTGGCTAGTGTGCACGAGGCCTTAAGGATATCTAAACCCCAAAACAAACCATTTTTATGTTTCAGCCGGGATAAGGGAGCTGCATTAATATTTCTTTTTCAACAAGAAGTACACTTCTGCAAGTACAGAAAAAATACCTGTTTTATCTTTCAGAATTACAATGTCTTTGGAACTGTGTGCAGAACTAATATAGCAATCAGTGTTATCAGAATTCCCAGTTATCTTCTGTAAAAGAGTGCCTTCCCTATGTAATGGAGATGAGGAAGGGGGCGAATAGTCTATATCGGGAGAGCAGTCTAGTACCAACCATGGCTTCCTCCATAAAGACAGTGGAGGTATTGTAGCCACCCTAGGAGAGGAAGTGTGTTTGCAATTTTTGTTTTGGGTTTAGATATGCTTTGAAGCTAGTGTAGTGGGTTATGCACCACAGCGTTTCCCAACCTTTTGGGTTGCAAATTTTATGAAGCAAATTTTAAATTTTAATTGACAATGTTTATTTTAATTGAACTAGTAGGATACCAATCCTCCC